GACAGGGGGGGGGGGGGGGGGCTAGTAGCATGGTTACTATTCCCCCCCCCCTTTTTTTACTGTGTAGTATACTACCCCAATTTAATATGTCTGAAGTGGCCATCAAGCTCAAGTGCAAGTAGTGCACCTATAGGAAAAAACATATAAAGCTATTATATCTGTGGGCCAAGAAAATTTGTGCAGGAAAGCATCTCTATTTATAACACAGGCCTGAATGGATAATGGGTTCACGTTATGAAATTTCACTACACAGAGACACTTTCATGAGAACATGCCTTCCATAATGTGGAATGTGCTGCATGTTACTGAGTCACTTATAATGTAAACAGATGTTCTATTCAACACTCTCTCCAAGAGATATCGAATGGAACATTTTTTGTCTCCTCATCTCTGCTTTACTATTATTAATTTCAATAGTGAATTCTGAAAATTAATGAATAACAACATTCTTTCCAAAATGCTTTCATGAAAATAGACTTTTGCCCTCAGAGGTAACTGCCATACACTTTGGAAAATATAGGACACATTCCTTACAAGCTGAATTCTGAAATTCAAATGTCACTACTTCCTCCCTAGAAGGCCCCTGTTCTTTCCATTATTTCCAGATGATACATAATTCTAAACATGTGGAATGCAATGGGCTTGTGGCCAGAGAGACACTCATGAATCATATGTCTATACAGATAATTGACCATATGCTGTACTTGTATGGCCAAAAGTCTGTGTTTCCAAACTAAGCAGGAAAACCTAAAGCAGGTAATAATGAACGGTTCTGTAATCATACAGCCTGTGTTTGCTGGTCAATACTGATACTGAAGATAGAATTAAAGTGGGCAAACTTCAAAATGGAGAGCACAATAATACAGTTTCATCTCCAACCTAACTACAAGATACTCACTTTCCCAGCTTCGGTCCTGTTCGGTGGCCACCTGGTTATGGTTCTCTACAGCTGGCACAGGAAGGCTGTTGTCAACTTGCACAGAATGCTGCAACAGTATCACACCACAGACACGATTTTTTATGGGCACTTTTAGGATTGTGTGTCTACAGTATAGAGGATAACTGATAAATGACAAATTGAAAAGGAATTGGAAGCAATCATGGTCTAATCACAGTATTATCCTAGCATTTGCGTGGAGGAACTTTGGGAAAGCACAAAAAACCTCAGTCATCAGGAAATCTGGTGTTCTAGCCAAGATTTGAGCCAAACCCCTCCAAAACATAAGCCTCTGTCTGATTTTTAAGGTCACTTGGTGGCACTTGTTGGTTCAGCTCTGTACCAGGTAACCCAGCTGAAATCAGACTATGGCTGGTCCACCCCACAACCCCCCCTATGTTGCATAGCATTCTTCTGACTGGCTTCCACCCAACCATTATGATAAAAGGAACAAACTATAAAATAAATTAACAAGATAAAATGCACATGATAGGTGTGAAAAAAATGTGTCTTAATTGTTACTAAAATACTGCAATAGAATATTCCCCAATTATCTTGTGTCACTATTCAACAAATGCAAAGTGCATCAAGAGACAAAGCAAAGAACCTAACTTTCAGACCTTGCTGTTTAATTTTTCAGTCTTATGATAAGATGGAAAGCTGTCAAGTAGTGCAGCAAATATGGGCAATCCTCTAGACCAATTTGAAAATTCTGTAACTCCCAGTGTTGACCACATTACACAATATCTTGATTTACTAGGTCAGAACTTGAGAGGTTACTATTCAATGTTTTTGAAATTGTGTTGCCAAATTCTATGGCATCTCTCAAAATAAAGGAATCATTTAACTGAGATCACATTTCTATAGTCACACAGATACCTTACACAATTTTTAAATTGTTACCAAATCCCTATGTCTGAGAGCAGTAACTTCACATTTCAAGGTGTTCCTCACAGAATTCATTTTACTGCCAGTCAAATTTCAAACCCAACTTAACTGTAATGTGCATATAAAGCAGAACTGCAAGAGTATGAAAATTATAAATCTGAATAATATCTGCTACAACATCCATAGTACTTCAGTGGCAGTGTGCATCTTACACAGAATTTATCTTCTTAATGAGTTATGTGTATTCTAAATACCATTCATGGAATTACTTTCACAAAACAATACATACAGCAACATAATGCAATAAATGTTTATCCAAATACTGAAAGTAATCTGTCATAATAACAGATGTCATCCAGACATGAAGGTTATTTGTGAATATCCTTTTCAAGTTGGTTAGTTAACAATATTCTCAGTACTGATACTACATAATATGCAGTTGAATATGTTGAGTAAGCTGTCACATACAGCCAAAAATGGATGTTCTTCCAGTTTTGGGGTTGAATTACAAATTCTATATGCAGGACTACTTTTACAGCTGAAACTCCATGCTTAATCTACAACTTGAACTGGTGGCAGAGTGCCAGTCTGGGCAAATATCTGCTGAACTTGAAAACACAGTGCTACTAACCTGGTTGTTCTGCGTCTGAACATCGTTTCTAGTTTCAGTCTCTGCAGGGGTAGAGGAAATCCTTGTCTGGTTTTCACCTATGGAGTAAGCAAATGTCTGTTACTTTCTGTCAGTCTGCTGTGAAAATTTTGGAACCAACAACTGATTAAAAAAAGTTCTCTTGATGTGAGGTTGACTGTCTAGAAAATGTGGGAGCCTCGACACCTTACAACCCTATGGGGCGCCACAGCCTGCTACAGGGATGCCTTTTTTACTTATAATGTGTACCAGACATATGTGGAATATGCAGATTCAGTTGCTGCTCTTGCACTTTGGTCCTTCACTGACATGAACTCATTTCTTAATGGCACAGATTCCAGACTACATGGGGAATAAGGCATTTGTGCAATGTTCACAGACAACAAGGACTCTGATTTCCTGTTCATATTTCTCATGATTGAATGTTAATTATCACAACATACTCTGCTTTCATTAAACATGATAACAATTCAAACAAACTAAATCTGTTCAAAATGCATCTGTCTCACATTGTTCTGATTCAACAGTGTGATACTGCTCAACATCTTGTATTGAACATCATTTGTCTACTATACATCATCTACAGTATCAACTGAATTTTCAACAAAAACAAACATATTTCATACAACATTTACGATATGTCTACACACCAAATATAACATAGCTGTCTGTAGCAGTTCAATGGTTATTTCCATTAAATGAGCTGATCTTGCATGGCCAGTGTGCTGCTGTTTTAGACAGACGGGAGGGAATTAAAAAGTGATATGTAGGATCTGGGGTTCTCAGAGCAGGGGTTATAAAGAGATATATCTTCTGGGATATAATGCCATGTTTTTTCCACTGGCTCTAGGCAATACTTCTTCGTTTCATCATACTTTTAAACAAATTAACACCCTGTTAATGTGTTACAATTAATAAAATACTCCTCTGAGGTACTGTTAAAGCAAATTAGAGGAGTTGGTGACCTACATACTGAGCTACAAGCTGCCGGCCAAACATGAGATCTAAAACATGACCGAGATTCCAATGCTGACTTTTACTATAATTCAATAATCCTTCGTACTGATAAAATTTACAGCACATGTGCCTGCAGCAAAATGCATATGGACATCACAAAATGTGACTTTTCTTCCATGTGTGCCTCTCAGCCTCTTTCCCAACCATCCAGGAATATGGGAAAACCCTCAGCAACAACACTCCGTGAGCTGATGAAGTGTAAATACTGGTATGTGTTACTTCATTAAACTAATCACATGTGATGATTCAATCTAATAATATTGTCACATGAGGGAGTGACTATAGGCAGGGTTTGGACTGGTAACTGGATTTATTGACCACATATATACACAACTTGTAACTACAAGTATAACAGTCTCACTGAGTCACATGCTTCAAGTATCACTGTTAACTACAGCACACATAAAGCCTTCTCAGTCTTCAGTAGTTCTATCCTGGTAATGGATCTTAACACTGTCCTCTGCTGACATCCTTACCGTCTAATGAATATCCCACAACTGAACTAGCTCTAAACATTGTCCCGCTTATAACCTCTCTGCACGGATCAACAGAAAACACAGCTCTTCTATTGTTGTACGTGGACTGTTAGTTCCCACGTGATCACTACACAGCCAGTATGTTGGCGTGTTGGCTGCTGCCTAGTAACGACTGTTGTCTCGTTTGTTTCATGATCTTTGCCTAGCAACAGGTCTACAAGCCACAATATACACATTTTGGCAGGCACTATTCAAATATGCAAATTACATGATTATTTACTTATATTCACTTATATTTTCCCACAAATATCTGGTTAAAAGTTCTGAAATACCTTCTTTAAAACTATGGATGCATATCTTACACAACTAAATAAGGTAGACCACCTCCTCCCATGCTTAATACACTAAAATAATATGTAATAATACAAATGCTGTCCTGAATGCAACAATTTATTTGGTTGTAGTTCTTTGTCTTTTCTTCCTCTACACTACATGTTTCGGCCGCAACCGGCCATCACCAGGTGTATTTTTCACTACGCAGCTGTCACACTGCACACAATCTAAAATCTAAAATCTAAAACACCAGCCTGTCAGTTTTGTTTAAAATCTCACCAACATATGTTCATCAATTTGATTTTAGAATTCTAATTTAAAATTTAAAATTTTATAGCTTTTAAAATTCAAAATTTAAAGTTTTAAATCACAGGGATACCCGCTCTGTGCCCGCATGTGCTGCAGTGGCTATTTCTTATTTTCAGCACCGTTCACGTTTTATTCTGTGCAGGCTCCCTGTGTGTGTCGCTGCTCATCTTTAATACGCTACTATCTGGAGTGGTTAGTTTTTAGATTGTGTGCAGTGTGACAGCTACGTAGTGAAAAATACACCTGATGATGGCCTGTTGCGGCTGAAACACGTAGTATAGAGGAAGAAAAGACAAAGAACTACAACCAAATAAATTGTTGTGTTCACGACGGCATTTGTATTATTAAATATAGAAGTGTCTAGTGCAACAGGATGCTTAAATATAATACACTAACATAAAATGTATAAAGAAGTGCATTTATATTAAGCTGGATGATAGTGTCAGGATACAGTGTGTTTAAATGACACAGCAAAGGGCAGCAAACATTTAATTTACACTAACTATCTGAAATGCATAATGACTAACAATTAATGACACATATGTTTTCATGCAATTGCAAGACTTTCAGTTCAGTCATGAGTTAGTTGCAAGCCACCCACCACCCAGCCAGGTCATGAGCATGGAAGCTGAAGAGTTCCCATTGTTAGGAGTTCTAACCTATCGAAGACTGTAACCAAGCAACAGACTGAGACCTAGAGCAGTAATGGTTCATTTCAAGTGTGTAGATTAGCAATAGCATTATACATATTTGTAGTTACAAGTTATAGGTGTTCAATAAATCCAATTATCAATCAAAACCCCATGTCTAGTAACTAACAAGTGACAATACCATTGTCTTAATTCCACATTGCCTTTGATAACTGCAATTTTAAGTTACAGTCTTCCTTGCTCAGCATGAAACTCACTTGTGTGACGCTCCTCCCAGTTGTTAATGACTTGCTGAGAGGTTTCAATAGAGGCAGGTGGCCATACAGGTAGGGATGCTTTTCTAGCAGCTGTTGCAGAAGGGAGAGGAGACTGGTAGTTGCTTACTGACTGCTGGTTGAGTGATGAGCGGCGTACTTGGTGCATCTGTCCTGCAGATGTGTGCTGTTCAAATACTGCACGTGCATCAAATGTCCGTTTGGAGATCACTGCCTGTGCTTCCTGCATGCACAAGAAAACACTGTTACAGCTTATTTATTCTTACATATAATATTGGAAAGTTCCCAGACTTGGTCAAAAAAGAAATGCTGGCTCAACTTACTCAATTTTGGTTCTACCATCTCATTCAAAATAGTCTTCTTGGGAATGTATACATCGTTTTTTCCACACTTCAAAAGCACCGTGGAGGTCATTTTCCTTAACGCTGTTGGGTATCACTTGCGATTCCCTTTGGATGTCACACACTGTTCAAAATGTCCCTTCAGTTTCATTTTCAATTTGGGAAAGAAAGCAAAATCACAGGGGCCTAAGTCTGGCAAGTATAGAGGATAGGGAATGATAACTGAGTTGTTGTTAGTCACAAACTCTGTGGTTTCCAGGGATGTGTGGGCGGGTATGTTGTCGTGATGGAGCCAGTTGTGGTTGCACCACAGTTCTGACTTTTTCATCGCATATTTTCTCTCAATTATCTCAAAATGTCACAGTAAAAGTCATAGTTGACCATAGTGTTAGGAGAAAGAAATTCGCAGTGAACAATCTCCTTCACGTCAAAAAAACCATGAGCAAGCTCTTTTTGAAATCCAGACCTGTCGCGCCTTTTTTCCTCTTGATGATTGTGGGTTCTTCCACAGTGACAACTGTTGTTTGTTTCTGGATCATAACTATAAATCCAACTTTCATCACTTGTTATGATCATACAAATAAAAGTTTGGTCCTCATTAGTCTTCTCTTGTAGCTCAAGAGATGTTTATACGCCACTGCTTTTGATCATTTGTCAAGAATCAGGGAACAAACTTCGCAGCAATGCAGAGCATTTTCAAATTTTCTGTTAAGATCTCCTGGCAAACTCCATAACTGATCCCATGGTGTCTGCAAGCTCACAGATTGTTCGGCGATGGTCTTTGTGAATGAGTTCTCAAATTTTTCAACATTTTCTGTCATTTTTCTGGTGCCTGGTTGCCATGAACGTCTGTCATCTTCAACTGACACTCGAAAGGCCTTAAAACATGAATGCTTTTCAAAAACCACTGTCTGGATTAAAGAATGCTCTCCAAAAGTATCATGAAGCATTCCAAGGGTTTCCGTAGCGGATTTACTGAGCTTCACAAAACTTGATGCAGACATGTTGCTCAATTCTGCCAGCCATCAGAGACAAATTACGAAATCAAAAAGACACTTTTGTAAAAACAATGCATGTTCATAGCGTGGTCTCATGTGGCAGACTGATGCAATAGGCCTGCGGAAGTGACCTTGGCTTCCCCTCTCATCTTCTTTCACTGAAGCAGTGACAACAATATCAGTCCGGGAACTTTCAAATTGCACTTTGTATGCTGCTACCAATATACATACAAACAATCAAACATTCAACCTTGATCAGTGGCTCGAACTTCAAACAATACCTGAAATCCACTGCTTACCCATTAAACACATCAAAGTGTATTTTTACTACAAATTCCAAAGAACATTACTTTCTACTGTTTGAAAATATGTGCTTCAAAATGCCCCCTTTCCCACATGCATATATGCACACACACAAGAGAGACAAATCTGATTTCAACACAGTCTAAGGTCAATCAGGCACTACCTTCTTCCTCCTCCTCCTCCTCCTTAAATGTAATCTTTTGATACAACAAGTGAAGCATCCAATGACTGCGAAACCTTTTACTGAGGACATTTCGAACAATACTGCTGTAATCTTCTGAAGAAAGCTACACTTTATTTTCTTCCAGCTGTAGCAAGATGAAGTTCTCAAGCTTACCAACATACAAGTTTTTAGCAAAGGGGAGTTAACAAAAATCCTCTAACAGGGTTATAATGCAGGCTATGACCACATATTAACTTTCATTACAGAAACCCATTACAGTAAACTGCCTGTTATCCAGCATGCATGAGGAATGGCGTATGCCTGTTACATGAAAAGGATTCTTACAGAAGTCTAGTAAGAAGTCCACACCATGCTTCTGCTTTAGTTCTTGCATGAGAGATTTCCCAGGTGACATAATAGACTGAAGGGTGAAGTACTTCATATACATACAGTATAATGCAACTGTAATTTCAACTAACTTCTCTTGTAATGGCACTTGCATGATTGAGGATGATGGGTAGCCTGCTAGTAATGGCTGGAAGAGCTACCATGTTACAAATGAACATACACAGGAAATAAGTTTTCAGATAACTTTAAAAACTGGTAAACTTTCTTTAAAGTGTTTGCCAATTGGACGAATTTTTGGATGCTCAGATACTGGACAACTAGGACCTTGCTCCATCTGTAACAGGCACTAACTTTCTGTGTTGAATTTCGTTTCAGTGTTCTGTTTTCTTCCACTATGCATTATGGTAAGAAAATATATGTCCTAAATGACCTGGCACTCTGTATGTGAAAGAACGATGGTTCACCTCGCTGCGCTGCCTCCTAAGCACATCACTGCGTGTTCTCCGCTCCTCTTCTTCTCTCTCCCTGTCTTCTGTCTCATTTCCTTTACTGGTCTCCTTCCTTCTTTCTTCTGCATCCCTCTCTGCCTTTCGCAATTGACTAATGCTCTTGGTCTGCTCCTTGAATCTCTCCTCCCGCACTGCAGCTTCTCTCAGCTGTCACATTATAAACAGAATATATACATTATGAAAAAGTTAAATAGTTTCATCCAGTATAATTGGTTAAGATTTTTTTTAATTTCAATTATTCATGCCCTTACATGTTTCTGTCTTCAGAGGGACACCTTTACATCAATACAGTTAGAAGGAACTATTACAGTACATGCTCTAAAAGTTAAAATATATACATACAATATAAATAATATACACTTGGGTGCAAAAATATTATGTGTGACAGACCAGAAAGAAACAAATAAAAAAAAAGAATAAATACATTTTTATATTAATTATGAAACAAAACACTTCTCCAAATAACTCACTCAACACTTTATTTGTGTACAACTTAGTTTTATTGGTATAGAATACAGTATCGCTACATGTTTGGCTCATACAGTCATTTTTGGGCAATACAATTAACAAGTCTTTTACCACTGAATTGTGACTCTACATACATCCATATATTACCCTTATCTCTGTGTGTTACAAAACAAAATAAAAATGTGACGTACTTCTTTCACCTTTATACACACAGATTATATACATAGTTGTATTCTTACATTTAACCTAAAATTGGTTTAAAATCCTGTGTAATGGCTTCTGTATCTGCACTAGGCACTGTTTGGTAATGGTTCCCAACAATGGAGACTCTTCTGCTCTCATGCTTACATCGTTGCCGGCTGGCTACATCTCACAATTCGTGGCATCACTAGCCATTATTATCCTACTCAGCACCACTGGCTCCCACTCACTGGGCAGCTCTTATTGTATGGCTTCGGGACACACATACACACAGTATAGAAAACATTATTACCAACAATCTCTCCTAGTGTTGTATGCATATCCATTGCAGCAGATATGTGTTTATCAAGCCATTACCTAGCAGTGGGCAATGTTTAAGTAACCGTGTAACAATATGCAGCATAATCCTGATTTAATGTTCCTCCATCTAAGAGATTCCCCATTTTGTGTTCATACATGTCTCTCATAAAAGACTGGTATAATTTTAAACTATAATTCAAGTCAACTTTTATTTACTTCCACACTAGCTTAACAGCATAAAGACCAATTAAAAACTAACTATTAGTTAGGGGAAAAAAACATACATAAACAAAATACATTAACAAGGCAATTTACATCATTTGAATGATGATAATTCCATTAACACTAATCAGTTATCATCAATAAGAATATATATATACACAATGAATAATAATAATAAAAATAATAACAAGAACAACAACAACAATAATAATAATGCCATGTGTCAGTAACTAGACATGGGGTTTTGTATTGATTATTGAATTTAATGAACATTTATGAATCATAATTACAAATAATTGTAACACTCTTACTAGTCTACATTTACTAAAAATCACTACAGCACACACTAGGTCTTCTCAATTTGTTCTGTCTTCATCTGTTGTTGCTTGGTAATGACTCCTAACAACATAGTGTGGCCTGAACAACTGGATGACACTAAAGAGGCCTATTCTTCAAACAACAGAACCACAAAGTAGAATACATATTCCTTTGAAGAGAAGAAGTATAAAGACATGAACCAAGTTGGTTCTAGACTTTAACAAATTCATGCACATCTTAGTAATGCTTAAAGGATATAATATTTTATATCTATGACATTGTAATAGTAGTGTCTGTATGTACTGATAATGACCTATGACATTGTACTAGTAGTTTCCATACGTACTGATAATGTCCTTCTGAAGATGTTCGCTCCGACCAAAACATGTAAAGGATGAAAGATTAAAAAAAAACACAACATTTATCAATCACACTGGATGTCGTTAATAATAATAATGTTAATAATAATCTCTTCTACTATTACTAGTGTGATCCCTATCCTGAGCTAAAGTCAAATTGACCTTGTAAACTGATTACAGGTGTAACAAAGTCAAGAAAAGTGATTAACTGGTAAGAGCAGATTTTTATTTCATAAAGCTGTGTTGGGAAGAGTTTCACTTAGGTTTTAAGAAGTGCATATGAAGGCTTGTGAACACCCCTAAGAAGGTGCATGGCCAAGGTGCAAACCAGATACTCTGCACACAGAAAATTGGAGTGCACTGTAGTACAACAGCCCATACAGGATAAATTGCTTACTTATGGAGCTGGGCTCTTCTTGAGGAGCTGCCAAATCTGCAGCTACTCAAGAATTTCCCAGCATTTAAGGATCCCAAAGGTTCATTACCATGTTCACAAGAGCCCTCCACTGGTCCCTATCCTGAGCTAGATCAATCCAATCCATACCATCCAATCCTCTCTCTCTAAGATCCATTTTAATACTGTTCACCCACTTATGCCTTGGTCTTCCCAGTGGTCTCTTTCCTTCTGGCTTTCCCACCAATATCCTATATGCATTCCTCTTCTCCATACAGGATAAATAAAAATTGAAAAATACATGAAAACATAAATTTCAAAGAAACTAACTGATTTTATTTACCTCTCTTTGTTTCCGTTCATTCTCCAACTTGTTCCGTTCCTCCACCTTCCTCTTCATTTCTTCTGCTTGCCTTTGTTTCTCTTCCTGTTCTTCCTTTTCCCAGAACTTATCTCTTTCCTTTGAATTAATTTCCTGACGAGGAATCACGCGTTTGTATGTTGTGCCCTTCAGAAGAACATTAAACAATTCCACAACTTAAAACATGGCAGTTTTGGTCCTCAAGAAAAGCACATGAGGGAAATCTGCACTAGACTGACTTAATACCTTACATGTTACATGGGGACATGTGAACATGACTGTTTAAAGTGTGCTCTCAATACCAAGATAGAAGGTGTTGGATGGCAGAGCTGTTCATATGCCACACACATACCATCACACAATTTATCCAGTTTTTTATGCTATAACCTTATGATATTTTTTTTTCTTTTTGAGATGTTTTTGTTTTTTCATGGCACACTCTTATCTAAGGGCATTAAAAATTGACAGCAAAAAATTACAAAACCCAATCAAACACAACCTCATTTAGTTTAACATGGTGTCAGAATAAGAAAGATTGCTGCTAAGCGTGATGCAAGAAAAAGGTGTGGGAGTGTTGGAGAGATTATAAGAAGATATCAGAACAAGTGCTGGCATATAGAGTGTTGGTGCATGTTTGGAAAATTGCATATATTCAAATTTGCTCCATTCAGCATATAATTGTCCACATCTACTTTGCATGTATAAGCATATCCACACTGGACAAATCTGCATTAAGCAAGAGTTTACTATATGTTCTCAGACATCAATACATGCACTAACAGAAGTCTGTCTAAACAACTATCTGATATTTTTGAGTAAAATTCCATAAAATATGCATAATTATTTATCTGTGATAATTCAGTTTACCATAAGATGCAAATCAACCGATAATTTTTAATATATTTATATATAAATAATCTATATAATTTTGTTATCTGAATCAGAAGTGTCTTCACTTCAAATTGCTGAGAGATTTCACTGTAAACTGGATATCATCCAGTCATTAAATACACTTGCTTCAAAACCAAATAATATAACCTTTGTGTTGAGTATGAGTTGTCTATTATTCTTACTTACATTAACAGAATTACTGAGTGTTGCACTTTGTTCACTGTCCGATATTATAAGGAACATTTTGCAAACTGGGTCTATTTCTGCTCAAGTCAGTGTGCAAACTGTCTAAATCATGAGGAAGCCCATCTTGCTGTTAAAGTGAGACAGCAGATCCCAAAAATTTGTCTTGGTCCAAAATACAAGCATACAAAACAAAAGAAAACCTGTACATTACAAAATCAAATTGAATCGTAAATAAATTACTTGATAAGCAGAAGTAATCATTTTCAACTGGTACATGGTGACAAATGAGTGATGAATTTAAATGAACATGGAAATTAGTAGTGCCCCAATTCTAATACATATCCTGGAATCTGTCTCAAGGGACTAGAAACATTCACAAAAACCTCAGTTACAACAGCCAGCATTCCACCCTAGATTTGAGCCAAGCCCCTCTCAAATATTGATGTGCCACGCTGCTCATTGATAACATGTAAAGACAGAGAAACAATGAATACATATTTTGATAGCAGTATGTCCCTTTCAAAGCCATATCATGTGATTTTACTAAGATATGGCATGTTTCCTGCAAATAGTGGTCACTTACCACAGGGCCCATTTCAATTGCTTGGTCTCCACGTTCCTTAAAACTATATGCAGAACCTGTAGACTTTGCAACTTTGTCTATGATGAGTTGTGTATCAACTTCCTCCTCATTTCGTGCATTCAAAGTAACATGGGCCCCCTTGAAGAAGTTGGCAACATCTCGTAAGTGGTTGGCACACTTTCCTTTTCGGACAAGGGGGGCACCCTCACCTTGCTGTCAGAGAACATTCAAAATCTGATAAACTCTTCCATGCATCAGCACATCACATCCTAGCTTAACAACTATTTTCATCTGTATAATAGGCTGTGTTTGAAAAAGTTTTAGCTGCCAATACACCAGCCATATATAGTCAATTCACCACAATTACTAAAGCTGCATACACTAATGAGAAGGTCTGTATGAATATAACTTTCACTCTCAGAGCACTATATTCTAAAACACCCAATCCCAGCGGTGGATGCTGCAGGTTTCAAGCGGTTGGCATTATGTTGTGTTACATTCCACAAAACAATTACATCAATAAAAATTGCATATTTTCTGAAGATTTATTACTATACACAATTTCAGACCCCTACATTAAATAGCACTACATCGTCCACCCCTCAGAAGCCCATGTGTCCACAATGTTATTATCAACTGCAGAAAATTAAAATTACAATGTCAGTGTGGTCTCTGTTCCATATTTCATGAAAATCAATCACCTGGTTCAAAATTGAAAGCATGGATGAACAAACATACATGCATCGCCCCCCCCCAACACACACACACACACACAGCATGGCGATCTTGTATGCCTACTACCTTTCCTTAGATGGGATAGCGCAGTTGGTATAGTGACTGGCTATGGGCTGGACAACTGAGGGGTCAGGGTTCGAGTTCTGGTATGGTCAAGAATTTTCTTTCCTCCATATTGTCCAGACCTGTTCTGGAGCCCATCCAGCTTCCAATCCAACAGGAACCAGGGGTAAAGGGCTGGGCTAATTCAGCAACTGCTCGAATGCACAGGCAATGATTTTTTCAAACAATTTCACCCACTTTGTCAATGTTAGCATCTGTTTTTGATGTGCAAGGCTGACCCAGACACAGATCATCTTCGATCTCTCCCCTTTCCCTCTCAAATCTTCTGAAGCACTCAAAAATTTGAGAACAAGATAGACATTCGTCACCATAAACTTCATCAACAAACTGTATATTTCTGTAGCGAATTTTCCAGGTTTTGCAAGGAATTTCACATTGACATGTTGCTCTACTTTAACACTTAACATAATGCCGACTAAGCTCAGACACACGGTCTCCTTCAAACAAAGGCTGCTGCCTAACTGTTGGCTGTATGGCCTTGGAAGTCAAAGGGTTGATGGAGAGGAGAGGGCACACTAATATGCCACCCCTTTTGCTGCTTCCAAGGCCACAGAGAGTCAGCAAAAAAAATCAGTCTGGTTATTTTGTAGCCACTCCACATACCTGTCTCTTTAATTTCTTTTTCTGGCACTTGGGACCTTCCTCCATTCATGCTCATTACCAGCCAAAGTAACACTTCCTTTCCTAAATTCTTCTTAAAATGAACGGTATTGAAATGAGTTACTTATTTCTTACATCTACATAAATACATATCTTTAAAAACTCTTCCTTCGTGCATCTTAATCTTAATCTTCAACACACATCTTAATAAGCTACATAAACAATGCAATTAATGACACAGCACTTCAACAACAACAAAAAAACAATGAGTTATATTTACTTTAATTAAATCTATAGTTTGACATGGCCAGTTACGAAAGTAGCGTATTTCTTTACTTATTCCTGGTTTATTCAATGAAGATGTCAGTAGCCCAGACTACACAGCACTAGATGGTAAGGTGATTAGTGAATAATGAACTGGAAAGAATTCAACAGGAGAGGGTTGTAGCCAATTTGGAGGTACTAATCCAACAACCTTTTGATAGGAGTGAGGAAAGACATGACAAATCACAGTAGGGACAGCTGGTGTCCCAGCCATGACGCAAACTGGTCACATACCAATTAGAACTCAGAAGTGATACCAATTTGAGTATTAATAATGACATACACTAAGCATATTTACCAGGACAGCACAAATACCACATGCCAGGTCACCATGAAGCCTAAAATGTTTAAGGAGTTGCTTAGAATTTTCATCTTATTATATTACTACTAGCACATGACCTGTCAAAAATAATGATGAAAATCATCTTTCTTCCTTTTGTTTAACCCTGTGTTTCTTTATCTCCTCTCCCTTCTCCCTAACTGCTTTCCCATCCATTTTATTTATCCATTTCATCCTCATTCTTCAGCCCTCTTCCTCACATTACAGCTGTTCCCACACTCAATTTCTTCTGTCCCTATATCCCTTTCTTACTGTAGCATGCAGACCCACTGCTAAGAAATGACTCTGTAAACAGACACTGCTGAGTAATGGCTGCAACAGGTTCCTAACACACACCAGTGGACTAACTGGGAAGCAGTTTTCTCTACGCAGTCCATGCAACAGCTATATGACCTAATTACAGAAGAACTGTTGGGAAAGGTGTTTTCTGTGCAGTACATGCCGAGGTGTTATAAGCAGGACAGGTCTAGAGTTTAGTTAGTTGTGAGACAGTTGCCAGTCAGTAAGGATGTGAACTCAGAAGTTGAGGGATCTATGGTGTTGGAAGCAACTACAAAATGGCGGCCTCCGTAGTCTAGAGGTAACGTTCCCACCTCATGACTCGTAGTACGCGGGTTCAAATACCCGGCGGAGGTCATCAAATTTTTAAGGGCGGAAAAATTCAGGGAACAAGTCCTCCGGGAGGTACTTTAAGCCGTGGGTCCTGTGTCGTAGCTTTACGGCACGTAAAAGAACCTCGTATCTCCAAAGGAGGTCACTGAGCCAAATTAACGGATGTTTCCCGCCCAACAGCAGTCTCTAATACCTCTGGTAGATGGGGGAAGCATTATAGATACCTCTCAGCTAGTAGAGCCAGTCTCGCTGGCTGGGCGGGACTGATGGTAAGCACCAGTACCGGTAGGATATAGAGACTGGTAGAAATCATAGAGGGAAGCACAATGGACCAACACAGGTCTCAGTGCATGGGGAAACCCACCCTCTCCAATAACTAACTACAAAATGACTGGTGAAGACACAGGAGACTGAGATGACTTAGTACGTACTGTAGTGAAATGCTGAGTGTGATTTAGCAATAGCACTACAGTTACTTGTAGTTATGATCTGTAAGTGTTCAACAGATCCAATTACCATCCAAAACGCCATCTACAGTCACATACCATACATGTGACGATACATTTATCACCTTCCCTCCTTTCCCATCCATTTTATTTGTCCATCCTCTCACCATTCTTCTCTCCATATTCTGGCAATGGCAGAAGGTAGTTTACACATTAAACATATCCCAGGAATAGCACATTACATTTTCCCTGACCTTCACGTGTCCTTCTGTTAATGAAAACAAGCAAATTTCTCACCTGAGGTATCGTGTTTCTTATTCTGGCTCACAGTTTTTGGAGGTGGTGCCTATATTTATAGCAGGTCTGGCTTTAACCACTAGATGCCAAATACACTCTAGCAACTACCAGGCAAGGAGGCCAGAAAGGAAATTAACCTTCAAAGGTTTTTAAATATTTAGTTTTAAAAATACACCTGAAACTAACCTTTCCAAAATGGAGCCTTTTAGAGACAAAGCTGAAGTCTAATGATATGCACTTGTTGGAAGTACATTCTATGGTAGGCTTGGGGTCTTATTTTTACAAATAAAAGAGTTATGTATTCTGTGATGAAATGCAATGTAGTCTGCTGAAAGCCAAGGCCGACTTTCACTGACTTCAAGGCAGTATATCCCAGATAATAAAACTACTCATAACTACAGCTGCAAAGGCTTAATATCCTACGAAACCTTTCAGACTAGCAGTGCTAACATGGTGTTAGCTTTTAAAGTTACTTTCATCACTCCCTAGCACATAAATACCCTAAATGCCGTCAAAATAACCCACTAATATACTGACATTTCTTTATTTGGAATACATCTAAAATTTAAGTTTAAACAAAATGCAGGCGACACTTCTTTACTCTTTGTCATGTACTAAGTAACTAACTCCATGGAGCCAACTCCTTCTTGAGAACACAACATTACTCAGCCACCCAAGAAACTTCAGAATCCAAAAGTTAATTATCACATTTACGAAAGTGGAGTTTGTCATATACAGCCATCAAAATGAGAATATTGAGCAATAAGACACAGTTACATTTGACAGAAGTTTTACTCTAGAACTACTGTCTAACATATGAATTTCATAATATGCATCCACATTTGGCATGATAATCACCACAGTTGCAAAAAACACAAATACATCCTTAACGATATCTGACAAACAGAATTGCACCAAAACTGAGAACCATTTGTATTACCTACAATACATACCCAATTAATTAGAACACACTTCGGCAGGCTGGTTTTTGGATCCATCACCTTACAAAATGCATACATTATCTTCCCACTATTCAAGTCCTCAATCATCTCCTCAATGCCACCCGCTGGCACAAAAAAGGACCACATCAACATACAGAACACATAAATGGCACTTCATAGCAAAGAACTAAAATCTGAAATATCAGTTTTAATTCCAAGGATTTAGCACATTCACATATGCATACATAAAGTGCCACAACAAAACTTAAAACTATACTTGCCACTTAAAAAATTTACTTGTTAACAGTATCCCAACATGCTACATGCATATACTTTTATAAAAGAACTTTAAAAATAGTTTAACTGTTAAGAACAGGGAACAAAAGTAACATACTCTTTGCCCTCTGATCCTTAAACAAAATATTTCTTTAACCAATTTGTTAACACTGTACATAAATTAAGTTTCAGCAAATAATGTAGCCAATTTCAGGTTAATGCACTGAATTCTACTCTGCCAGTTGGTACACTGTGATTTGCATTATTTTGGTATGAAGAGAGATTAATTTGAAATTAAAATTAAAGTTCCTATTAAAACTTATGTTCAACTCAGTTATACAGCATCTGAAATTCTAAGTGCTTCCCTTTTATGGTTGAGATCATGGTGGGTCTGTATTACTTGTAATTATTCATACTGCTTGCTTCTTGGTGTTGCCGATACTGAACGAGAGTCAGAACAGTGAAAAGTTATGGCTAATGTGTTTACATGGGCAAGGGTGGGTTGATGTGCTGTCATCTAATGACAAAGTTGACACAGTGTTTCAAATATTGGGTTGCAATTATTACCATACATGTCTTTCATATAAAGTTTCCCTTGTTGAGTTTATTTACATGCAATACCTTCCTGGGGGCACACAGTAGTGTAGTTGGCTGAGGCACTATACTACAAGCTGGACGGTCGCGAGTTCAAGTCCCGATGAGGTGATTGGATTTCTTTCAATTGACGTAATGATTCCAGCCATACTATGGTCTTGGGGTTGACTCAGCCTCTAATAGAAACGAGTACCAGGAATATTCTTGGACTATTCTTGGGGGTAAAGGGTGGCTGGTGCGTAGGGCTGACAACCTTGACGCATCTCTGAGCCTACTGTCTAGAAAATGTGGGAACCTCAACATCTCACAATCCTATGGGCGTCGACGGCCTGTTACCTTTACTTTTATACCTTCCTAGGCTATTGAGATGTTTTTTTTTCTTCATTATCTCTGGGATGTCCATGGTATAAATTCTTTTGCCACATGTATGCTGTGTTTAACATGAAGTTGGAGTACCCCAAATTACCACTGTTGTTACATATTACTTGGGCGAGTTTTTTCATATCTGGTGCTGCAGGTTTATCCTGTTTGTCCGACATATTCTGCTGGGCAATCTAAACTTTCAGTTGGTATATACCGATTTTGCTACATTCATTTGCTATTGGTGGTTTTGGAATGTTTTCTATTCTTTCTTGTATTAAGTGAATTTTGAGTTTTAGAATTTCCTTGAAAATCTGTACTGCCAGTTAGAATAGAAAATGTGTATGGAGTTACAAATACAATAATTATACATATTTGTCAACTGAGAGAATTTGTGAATAAAAGTTTACATATGTACATATTAATTATAAGCATTTTTAAATAACAATAGAAAATAATTTCATACAGTATATATACTTTCAGATAATTTCATTTCACAGAGGCTGATTCCTATACCATTCAATGTTCCTGCAATATAAAATTGCAACAGTATCTGAAAATATACAACTGAGAACTGCAGTTTCTTCTAATCCTAAACTGAACATCACATAAACCATGCTAACACTGTTTCAAAACATGCTTAATTTTTCCTGTCAAGCTGTCTTGGTTAGGATGATACAGATGAGTCCAAGGTTGCTTTACTGATGTTCTGACACAAGATCTGTCAGTTGACCTTATATAAAAGATTTAATCTGTTTTACACCCATAAATATTTCAGCTGGAATGATGCTCCCAGATCAGTAGCTGAAGGCCTATGTAAACAGTAATCAATTTCCTTCTATTTAGAAATTAAAGGAGACTTAATAACTGCATGTGATTTTCTACTGAAAAAACTACCTTTACATGTACATGTACATACTACATGTATAAAAAAACCTCTTAGGTTTATATTTAATGAATCTATAAATCAAGGGGTATTTCCTGATCTTATGAAAATAGCTAAAATTAGACCGGTCTTTAAGAAGGGTAATAGACAAGAAATTAGTAACTATAGACCTATATCGGTTATATCAATATTCTCTAAAATTTTAGAAAAAATAGTGTATAATAGACTGGTATCTTTTATTAGTAAATTTAAGATTTTAACGGTAAATCAGTATGGGTTTCAAAAAAATAAGTCGACTATATCGGCGTGTCAGACATTTATTGGTAATATACAAGAAGCTCTGGATAGGAGGTTAACTGCAGTTGGTATATTTTTCGATCTTTCAAAAGCGTATGATGTTATAGATCATGATATTCTGCTAGAAAAACTTGATCATTATGGAATAAGAGGAAAAATTAATGATTGGTTAAAATCCTATCTGAAAATGCGTTCTCAGTATGTTGAAGTAACATCTAATGATAATAGGTACTCGAGAAATCGGTTTAGCTCGATAAGGAGGAATATAAAATTTGGAATACCGCAAGGGTCTACATTGGGCCCGCTTTTGTTTCTCTTATACATAAATGATTTACCCCAACATATAACAAATGGGGAGGTTGTTCTCTTCGCAGACGATACAAATATATTGGTTATTGATAAAGATAAAAGCATCCTTCAAGATAAAATAAAGAGAATTATGATCCAACTGGAATCTTGGTTTTCAAAAAACAATATGATTATAAATAATGATAAGACTAAAGCTATGTTATTCCAGTTAAAGAAACCGCATGACATCTCAGGGCCAGATATTATTTTTAATAATATAAAAATTAAGTATACATCTCAGTTTAGATTTTTAGGTATTAATATAACTCAAAATCTCAAATGGAGTGTACATATTCAGTCCTTGTGTTCAAAATTGAATAAAGTATGTTATATTATTAAATCTTTGAAAGATGAGGTAAGTTTACATATACTCAGGAATATATACTTTGCCAAATTTCAATCGTTGGTAAGTTATGGGTTGATTTTTTGGGGAGGAGAAAATGAAAGT